TTATAAAAATATATGGTGGTTTAAAGTTATAGTTTCAACATATTAATGATGACTGATTCTCTGTGCAAAGTGATTTGGAAGTGCATTCATCTAAATTGATGATGGGTTGTTTCAAAATTTATTACTTTTGTGGAAGTAATACCTGTTTATACTGCGTGTCGTGTGGTATAAACATACTTCATCGTGAACAACTTATTGATATGCACTGTTCTGGAATTAATTAGGTATTCTCCCATATATCAAGGCCTCAATTGAAAAAAAAGTGTGAATTGATGGATAATAATAATCTTTTCTTTTAAAGTGCTAAGAGTATTGGGCCTTAGAAATTAAAATGTTACCTTTAGTGATTATGAATCCAGATTTGATTTACTCATCCAACTAACTTAAGGTCACCTGATGGTAATTAATTGATTCTGTTTCAAGTTTTAAATACATGATCATTGCTTATGGTATGATTATATTTCTAAATTTTCTTAAGTGGTATAATCTGGTAAACAAATTGTATCAACTCTGCTGTTGAAAAAGCAATTTCTCTTATGATCTAGAAATGTTAGATCAAGAATTGTTACCCCCCCCAAAAAGGGGAGAATGAATGGGTTAGAATAAACTTCCAAGTTTTGTTTATATGTAAGAGGAAGTTTCACCTAAAAATTCCTGAGTAAATGAGAATCCATGGGCTATGTTAATTTGGAGGTTTATGGACTACCACATTCACTAACTATGTGAGATTCCAGCTTGCTAAAGGAGACCCAAAAAATACTGAAGAAAATAACACCTTAAAAATTAGCCTAACCCAAATGGCAAAAGAGGTCCAAAAAGCCAATGAGGAGAAGAATGCCTTCAAAAGCAAAATTGGCCAAATGGAAAAGGAAGTCCAAAAACTTACTGAAGAAAATACTTCCTTAAAATTCTGTAATAACTAGGAATTGTTTCTTTCTGGTTACGTGCAAATTCTAGAGTCCCAGGACAAGGAGAAAATATTGCAAGCAACCAGAAAGAAATAATTCCTAGTTATTACAGAATTCCTAGATATCACAGAGTTCCTTAGTCAAAAGGTGTTCGTAATGGAGAAGAAATTCAGTTTTTATAATGCAGGAAGAACACACCCAATTAAATTAACCTTATCACAATAACAAGTATTATCAAGCCTTTAAAAATTTACTCAGTATCTTTTCTTTCTTTTGTGTTTAAATATATCACTGGAAAATAATTACATTCTGGAATCTCACATAGATAGGTGGATGTAGGAGCTTTGATTGTGTTGTCTTCTTCTGGTTGTATGTTGTGATCTTCTTTGTTACCAAAGAAAGATTCTATGGTCTGATTCTATTTGCACTGTTTGCTCATGATCCCAGCCAATTACGTGAATTAAAACCTCTTTGTAAAGGTAGGAGTCTGCTTCCAGTGTGGAGAACGTACTGTTCCAAGCTTTGGGGGTTTTGTGCAGCTGTTTTCAGAGATAATTCTAGAGACCTGAAAATTTTCAGTTCTTCCAAGGTACTGTGATCAAGGGTGAGGTGTTTATTCCTTTCCTGGCCTGTGCTCTGGTCTATGAGTGACCACAAGCACTGTTCTCTGTCTTGCAACTGTGAGGAGCATTTCCTCTCCACAGCCACTACAAACCCCACCACGCCAGTTCTCTTCCTTGCCCCAGGACTGCCACCCAGAACTGTGACTCAGATCCAAGCATGGGCAAAGCAAGAGAATCCTGCACCATCAGAGAGATTCCTGCAATCCCCCTCTGATAAGGCACTTGATTCCCCCTCAGTCTGTGGGCCAGAAGCTCTGAAGGCAGCCACTGCCCCGGGGTCGCACTCAGGGACTGGGGCTGGAACCCCAACGTGCTTCTCTCTCACCCCTGCATTCACAGACTTCTCCTGCTGACCTTCTAAGTTGTCTTTGATCTTCATGGGTTGAGAAGTCTGGAAACTGCCACAGCTGACTGTGATTCAGCCCCCTGAGGCCTGCTCCAGCTTTGCTGGGGCCTGCATGCCCACACCAAACTGCATTCCTCTCCCAGCCTGGAGCGATATACCTTTCTGATCAACCATCCAGGTGTCTTGGATTGTAAATTTGTTTCACTTTGTCTTTTTGTGGGTTCTGCTGCTTCAGAATTTGTTTAGAGCCATTTTTTACAGGTATTTGGAGAGGTTTGGGGGAGAGCTCAAGCAAGTTGCTGCTTTTACTCTGCCATCTTGGCTCTGCCCCCAAGTCTGTGCTATTTCCTTTCTGAAGAGCAAAATTCCCCACCTGATTAATTCTGAGCCCTGCTTTTAACATCAAGTGACTGCATGATTGGCTATCAGATATAACTCATGCCTGCAATCAAACAGAACTAAGGAAGTTCTTTCCTTCTGAAATGATATATGACATTTTCCCTCCTTTTATAGCAAATTTCTGTAATCAAGAAGTTCTGTAAGTACAGTACTAAATTTATTACAAAATAGATGGATCCAGGAAAATCTCTGAGTTACCATAATAGGATGCAAGTATGAATAGCTTACAATTTTAACTTACATTTGTGGCCAAACAATAATAATATAGAGATAACATCCTCCTAAGAAGGAAATGTTTAGACAAAGTAATAAGACAAAGATGTTATGTGATAGATGTCTAATTAAGTAGGATAGTAAATTTTGAGAAAAGCACTGGAATTTAGGAAAGGACAGAAGCAGCAGATGATATCAAAAATGGAGAATCAAATTTTAGTGGCTGTACTAATTTATACTAAGTCAGAATTATCTGGGAACTTCTAGATCTAAACAAGAGAAATAGAACTCCCTTTTAGAACTGCCTAAGAATTAAACCTATTTTACATGAGATATCTAGGATTCAAAAGGTGCTATTAAAATAGACATTGGGAATAGATTACTGGGATACAAGGAACTTAATGTTAGTTAACATTGGTAATAATGATTGTATTGATTATGGTTCAGGTTTAAGGTTTTCTTAGTTATCTTGGTGACATGTAAATCTCCCTTCTCAAAACTAATCTATTGTGAGCCCTCTGAGTAGTTTAATCTGTACCTAACTTGATGTAATTATGCAACTTTGTAAATTACGAGAAAAACTTTGCTGTATTGTTTGAACCTAGCCCTGCATGGCAGGGAAACTGAACCATCTCTATGTGCCTTTAACTAAGGACCTATGTTATGCTGTTTTCTCTCAATTATCAACTCATAAGTCTTCTAAGAGCCCCTATCAGATCTATGTGACTACTTCCATAGCTGCCAACTTCTGGATATGGGCTCCGGGATCATCAGAAGATGCCCGCTCCAAGTGGACATCTCTTCCCACCCCCTGGGGAAGAGGAAGGTTTTTCCCATACCTTCCTTGGTCTACAGGTGAAGCCTTCAGCTTACCTTTGCTCACTGTTGCTGTTGTGCCTCACTACTGTGGTGACACTACCCTGTTTGACTGTCTGGCTAAAAGGTGGTCCCCTCCACTAGGGGCAGGGCCCTGGAACATGTTTCTAATCTGCTTCCTTGCTTGCAAACTGTTTTCCTCACTTTGAAATTAGTCTGTTTGATTCCTGACTTTCCTGGCTCTAGCCTACTTTGTTTGGCTCTGGCCATTCACAGGTTAGAGGCTGGTTTGGTCCACTTGACACAGTTTTAAATCTGGTACTGCTAAACCACTTTGCTTTACTTTTTTTCCCCTTTGCTTCCCTTGATGTCTTTGTTGTTGTTACTGTTGTTGTTTGTCCTTTGTTCTCGAAGGGGACCAAGGACATTAGGAAGCTGATATTCTGACATACAAGTCAATTGGATTTAAGTGAGGGACTGCTGTGCAAAGTTACCAGCTTCACTTTCTCCTCCCAGATGTCTTTGACATTTTGCTCTTCAAGATGAATTTTGTCATTTTTTCTAGCTCTACAAAGTTATTCTTTGGTATTTTGATTGGTAAGGCATCAAATAAGTAGGTTAATTTAGATAGGATTGTCATTTTGATTACATTGCTAGGTGCACTCATGATCAATAATATTTCTCTGTCTTTATTTGCATGAAAAGTTTTTTGTAACTGTTCATGTAGTTCCTGTGTGTTGTGGCATGTAGACTCCCAGGTATTTTGTACTGTCTGCAGTTATTTTGAATGGAGTTTTTCTTTGTATCTCTTCCTGCTGGACTTTGTTTAGCAATATAGACATGCTGATGAATTATACAGATGTATTTAATTGCGCAGTTTTGTTAAAGTTGTAAATTGTTTTGACTAGATCTTTAGGTGATTTTCTCATGTTCTCTCTCTATACCATTATGTCATCTGTATGAGGACAGTAGAGATCTTTCTGTGGATTGGTCCAATCTAAAAGTGATCTGGAATCAGACAGGACTTGATTTCTTATTTAGGTTCTGCCCCTTTACTATGATTGAGATCTTTAGCAAATGTTTTCTTTCTGGGCCTCAATTTCTCCATCTGTAAAACTGGGGGTTGGAATACATGACTTCTAAGGTCCTATGACTCTCTTAAACTCTACAAAGAGCTTTGCAAATCTTAGCTATGTACGTTACTTTGCTTTGTATATAATCTAGCTCAATTAATTTGTTTCTCGGTATTTTCCTCGCTAAAAATAATACTCTATCTGTGTGACTGTGGGCAAACAACCGCATTCCCAGCGCCTCAGGCAGCTAAGATTATCAGCTGTAGAAAAGTTAAAGGTCTTTCCTGGTAATGGAAGTTCATCGCCACAGCTTCCCACAACAATGAATCACAGATCAGATTTAACAATTCGGGAAAAATTCTTATGCATCCACATTTCATTCACTGTAGGTATCCTAAAGCTGCGGCAGGCGCGACTAATAGTGTCGTCGCAATCCAGCAGGAGATAAGGTTGTAGCGGGGAAAGTGACGTCATAATGGGCGGGGCTCCTTCCCGCCGTTTCCGCTGGCCGCAGTCTAACCCGGAAGCGACGGGGGGGGGCAGAGGAGGAGCGTCGCTTCCGAGGGCAGCGGTGCGGCCGGGAGTGGCGAAGGGTGGTGACAGGGGCGGGGTCTGCCTTGTAAACAGACAGTATGGCTGCGGCCCGCGGTCTGGGTGTCCTGCAGGGATGCAGCGTCCGCTGGGCGGTTGCTTACTTTGCCCGGTTGGGTCAGGGCTTGGTGGCCGGTGGGTCGGGGCAGCGAATGGGTTCGGCATCGTGGCGTCGCTGCTGGGCTTCCTCGAGTGCTGGGGCAGGCCTCAGCAGGAGCTACGGTTCGGAGGCAAAAGGCGAGGAGGAGCTGAGGGTCCGATACCTGGAGGAGGAAAATAAAGGTGACAGAGGGAAGGAGGGAGGGAGAAGAGAGGGAGCGGGGGGAGGGTGGGGGGGCGGGGAGGGAGAGACAGAGAGAGACACACAGAGAGACACAGAGACAGAGACACACAGAAAGAGACAGAGAGGGAGAGATACAGAGAGACAGAGACACACAGAGAGACAGGGAGAGACACAGAGAGAGAGACTGAGACCGAGAGACAGAAGACGAACACCACATATCTTTTCTCTTTAATAGAGTTAGAATACCTTTACCTCATGATTGTGGCTGAGAAGTGACTCTAGGTTCTTAAAGACTGTGCTAGTGGAATGCATGCTCTGGCAGGACCTACTGAGCTCTAGGTTGCTTGAGTCTGTCCACACCTGTCTACAAACTATGCGTTTCTATTGTCCGTGCGCTAGCCTAACTAGATCACCCCTGAAAGGTAGATAACCAAGTACGACTTTCTAGTACAACACCTCATGAAGAGTGCCTATTAAAGTATAGTTGTGACCTGCTTAAATTGAGGGAGGAAGAGGCTCTTTGTTGATGAAATCACAGAGCCTTGAAGTATTTATATTGAATTTTTATACTAGTAGACTAGGAAAATGATATAAACATTAGGTTTGGAGTTCAGCAAGGAACTTGATAAAAGCCCCTAAAACAGTATTGAAGGTAAAAAGGGGAGAAATGTAGGCCAGATAATATGTTATGGTTATTTTTATTCATTTGAACGTGTTGAATTTTGGCTATATTGTCCAGGAGGAAGGTTGTGTGTAAGTGGGGCTCTGTCTAAACCTTGATGTTTCCAACCTTTTTGTAAGTGACTTGAAGACCTTTATATTATACTTAATTTAGAAACTGTGGAGAGCTAAGAGGGTTAGCTGTTTTGTTGAGTGATCAAATCATGATCCAGAGATGTGTTAGTGAAAATGTTGTGCTTTATTACTTCAAGGATCTGTAATTCCATCAATGTGTATACTTAAAAAAATACGGAACTTGTATCATGAACTTAATTATCAACAGATATGTGAACATTTCAATACACAAAGAACAAAAATAGGATTATATAAGAAAATGTGAATTTCAAACTGTTTAAAGCGTATGTTAAATTTAACATTGTAGTAACAAAACTGTCATGCTTGCCTGTGTCCTTTTCTTAACTTCCACTGTTGTCTGTTTTTGGGGTGTTTTCATTGGTTCTTTGCAGTCTTTTTTTTTTTCACTTTGCATCTCTTTTACAACCCACCAACTCTCTCCTGATGCTGTAGAGCCCTTCCTTTTTTTACAAATTCATATCAGTAAAAACAAATCCACATTCACTGTGTTTGAGAATGCATACCACATTCTTAGGCCATGAATGTGGATATTCTTTTCATTGATGCATATAGTACCTTGTACATAGTAAATGCACATATTGAAATTGAATGGAAAACACATTACAAGCCCTTTCTATAAGTAAATAATTTTCAAGATAAGCTGTGATTGTAAGATTATTTTGTAGCCAACCTGGTGATGAACTTCTTGGAACTTCACTATATTGAATTAAGCAACAAGCATATAGATCATCACTGAAAAAAAAATACTGAAGTACAACAGTCCTGGAAAAGCTAAGCTAGACAGTTCACATGAAATATATTTACAGTTTTAGGTTAGTGAAACCTCAAGATGACTCAACAATGTGACATAGCTACTAAAAATGAATACAATATTTGAACGACTATCATGTGATGGCAGTACCAAAATCGATAAGCGAAAGGAGACAGTTTAACTCAGTTTAAATAAAAGTCTTCTAGCAATTGCAGCTGTTAAAAAATTGAATTCACTGTCTTGTGGAATATCATTTTTCCTTTCATTGGAAATTTTTATTAATATAAAATGCTTCATAAATTTTTAGTACATGAGGCAGAGTCCATGCTAATATTTTCTGTATTGTTTCAATTTTAGTATATGTGCTGTTGAAGTAAGTGTGGTGTTTAAATGATTATTTATGGGGAGCAAATGATCTGCTTTTTGAGATTCACATAGGGGATGGGCTAAACTATGTGGGTGTTAGGAGTGGCCTTAATGCCTTATTAGGTTCTATGTTTGGACAGAATGAGGCACTTGTCTTTGAACAGTTAAAAGATTTACTTAGTCCTAATAGAGCAAGAATATGCAAGGAGAGGATACTTAGCTTTGGCAACTGAGGGGAGGGGTCATCTCTCTCTCTCTTCAACAGGACTGGTTTGCATGGTCTTAGGAATCTACCAAATCTGAAGTGTGGTGTGTGGAAACTTTTTTGTCCCTCAGAGACTAGGAAGCCACTCCAACACAGCTAAGAGGCTTACCAGGAAGCTGGTCAGGGAAGGCCCAGCGTCTGCTTACCCTTGGTCCAGTCAGTTCCCTACTTTGTCACCTTTTAGGGAAAATCTAACCTAATACAGATTAGAGGGGAGGGATAGTAACAGTAGCCTAGTTTGACTGTAACACAGAGTGCCTGACATCAGTCAACAAGCATTCATTAAGTATTTATTATAAAGGGAGTAATGTGAAATAAATTTAGAAAGGTAGATTGGAACTAGCCTTAAGAAATGGGCTAAGGGATTTACATTTTGTTCTAGAGATAATAGGAGCTCACTGAAGACATTTTTTGTGTAAGGGAGTGATACCATCAAACCTGTGCCTTGGAAAGATTATTTTGGCAGCTCTGTAGAGGACTGATTGGAGAGAGGAGAGCAGGGACATGATTTAAGAGATGGTGAGGAGATGGAACAATGACATTTGGCCACTGGTTGACTGTGGGGGTAGTGGTGAGAGAGGAGATACCCTAAGGATGACTAGGTTGTTAACCTTGCTGGCTAGAAGGATGGTGGTGTCTTCAGCAAAAACAGAGAAATTTGGAGGACATTGGGTTTAGAGGAGAAGATAATGAGTTGTGGTTTTGGAATTTGAGATAGATAATTGAATGTATGGAAGTAAATGAGATCATCAAGAGTGTAATGAGAAAAGAGGATTCGGGACAGGGCCTTGAATAGACATTCATATTTAGGAAGCAGGAGAAGGATGATGATCCAGTAAAGGAGTGGTCAGATAGGAGAAACACCAGAGAACAGTGCCATGTAATCCAAGGAAGCAGAGTATAAAGATTCAATTCAACAAATTTTTATTAGATAAAAAAAATAAAAATGAAACTGCTCCATCCTCCGAGGAGCTTACATTCTACTGAAAGGGTACGCCATGTATATTAAATAAATACAAAGTATATACAAATCAATACAAAGTAATTTCAAGAAAGAGAGACCATTATCAACTGGAGGGTAGAGATTACAAATTAAAAAAAAAGTTCTTATGTAAAAGGTGTCACCTGAGCTATGCTTTGAAGAAAGTAAGATTCTGCAAGGTAGAGAAGGTGGAATCTATTCCAGACATAGAGGGTTATAGCAAATAAGGGTGCAAGACATAGGGTGCAAAAGGCAAATAAGCAGGAGGTGGAATATTTCCTTCATGGAACAGCTAGCAGGCCAATGTAATAGAGTGGAGACTACATAATAGAGAATAATATGGAATTAAACTGGACAAGTAGATGAACATCATATTGTGGTGGGCCTTAGATGTCAGATTAAACATTTTGTACTTTTTTTTTAAACATTTTTATTTGAAGTTTTGAATTCCAAATTCTATCCCTCCATCTCTCCCTGAGACAGTAAGCAATCTGATACTGGTTATGCATGCACAATTATGTAAAATATTTCCATATTAGTCATTTTGTATAAGAAGATTTGAATAAAAGAAAGAAAATGAAAAATAGTGTACTTAGTCTATATTCAATCAATATAACTTCTTTCTCTGGAGGCGGATAGCATCATTTATCCTCCTTTGGTATTGTCTTAGATCATTGTATTGCAGAGAATGGCTAAGTCATTCACAGTTCTTCATCGAACAATGTTGCTGTTACTGTGTACTATGTTCTCCTGGTTCTGTTCACTTCACTATGCATCAGTTCATATAAGTCTTTCCAGTTTTTTCCAGAATCATCCTGCTTGTCATTTCTTATAGCACAATAATATTCCATGACAATCATATACCACAGCTTGGTTAGCCATTCCTCAATTGATGACCTTTGATTTTCAATTCTTAGCCACCACAAAAAGAGCCACTATAAATCTTTTTGTACAAATAACTCCTTTTCCTTTTTTTTAGTATGTCTTTGGGATATAGATCTAGCAGTGGTATTGCAGGATCTGGATCAAAGGGTATGCACAGTTTTATAGCCATTTGAGCATTGTTCCAAATTGCTCTCTTTTATAGTGGGATCAATTCACAATTCTACCAACAGTGCATTAGTTTCCCAGTTTTCCCACATCCCCTCCAATATTCAGCATTTTCCTTTTTTGTCACATTAATCACTCTGATAGGTATAAGGAGATTCCTAAGAGTTTTTTTAATTTGCATTTCTCTGATCAGTAATAATTTGGAACATTTTTTCATACGACTATAGATAGCTTTGATTTTTGTCTGAAAACTGCCTGTTCATATCCTTTGACCGTTTATCAACTGGGGAATGACTTATATTTTTATAAATTTGACTCAGTTCTCTATATATTTGAGAATTGAGGCCTTTATCAGAGATACGTGTTGCAAAAATTTTCCCCCAGTTTTCTGCTTTCCTTATAATTTTGGTTTCATTGGTTTTGTTTGTGCAAAAACTTTTTAATTTTATATAATCAAAATTTATTTTTATAATTTATAAATGCAAAATTTCACATTTTGTAATCCTCCTTATATCTTCTTTGGTCCTAAAATCTTCCCTTATCCATAAATCTGACAGATAAACTATTCCATGAGCTCTTAATTTGCTTATGGGATCACCCTTTATGTGTAAATCATGTACTCATTTTGATCTTATCTTGGGATAGGTATGAGATATTGCTTTATACCTAGTTTCTGCCATACTTTTTTCCTATTTTCCTGTTTTCCTATTTTCCTAGCAGTTTTTGTCAGATAATGAGTTTTTGTTCCAAAAGTTTGGATCTTTGGGTT